TAAAGCAGTACAAATTCCATGTCTACTCTTTATTAGCTGTGTTACCTTCCTCGGGCTGGTTAACTAACCTCTCCAACCTTCAGTTTCTTCAGCCATAAATTGGGCATGACAACATCAATGCAGAATTCTTGAAAGGATTAGATGTAGGTAAAGCTCTTAGCACAGTGCCACTTACTGAGCAATTAGTTAACAACAGTAGCATTAAAAAATGCCTGACCAGTAAAGCTTGATTTACAGCTGCAGTTCCTCTTAACCCAGAAGACATGTCATAAAGGATTGTTCAGGGCTACCAATATCCTCACCCTTTGAACAACAGCACATGTTTAAGAGGTTTGGCTGTAGTTTATGGATACAGTTGCAGTCATGAAGCAGCTTCTCTGAGCATCCTTCCCAGCACGTCAGAGGCCTGCTTTTTTCTCTCCTATTTGTTTGCCTGCCACGCAAATTGTTGGACTATTTAATAATAACATTAAATGGGGTTCTTCATATTTATGTAGTCTTTCAATAAATTATAAAACACTTTCTTATACATAATTCGCATTTTGTTTTGAAAACACAGGTATACAGGATGGGAATTGTTATTCTCATACACAAAGGAGTGAGGTTCTGTCACTTGCCCACTATCACACACAGCTGGGCTGTCTGACCTATAGGCATCCCTGTGTTGTACTGGTATAGACTGTAAGCCCACGGTTGGGAGTTAGATGAGAAAAAAACAGTAGAGTGTGAACACTGATACATCCTTTCTCTCTTTTTCCCTTCAGGGTTGGGTATGCAGGTTACCCCACAAAATCTGGAAATAAATTCCCAAAACTTCCTTTTATTGTCCATCTAGAAATGTTGCAACATATAAAACAATCAAAAGAAAATATTGACTGAATGTCATGTGTCTCTTTGAAGAAGAATACATTCAGATACATGAATGTCTCCTTAGAAAACAGCCTCTAAGCTAGATGAGGCTTGCCAACAAAACTGAAGTCTGACAGAATAAATTTCAAAACAAATTGCATTTTCCCAGAAACTCTTTACTTGAAGCCATTATTCACTGAGCTACAACTATTCTTTGAAGATTTTTCTCATGTAAGATTTTTAATATTTTGTTTTTTATCTGTGGACCTTTTAAAGATCCTTTCTTTTCTATTTGGTAAAAGTGTTTTGAAGAACTGTTCAGATAATCACATACATAATAAAATAATAGTTAATGTGAAAATTAATGATTTTTTAAAATGTATCAGTTACTGTAAAAAATTTCAGAGTGAATTACTAAGTTCTCCTCAAAAGGTGCACAGCCTCCAAATCCAATAAAACCTTAGTTTATCTTGATGGTGTTTAGATGAGTGCTTTAAAATTCATCCTTTTAGTACTGCAGACATAAAACTGATTCTATCTAAAGGCATTCCAGAATTTTAAGTACAATGCAAAAGCTTGTATGCTGATTAATATCCATCACATGGTATGGATCCATTGACACTCCTCGAGCAATTTGAAATATTATTCCTAAATGTCATCTGTTGTGATCCTGGTCATGCTTTTCCATCTAATGCCTCTAGCTTGCTGCACGTGATCCTCTGCAGGCTAAGGAACTGGTTGAGGAGGGAAAAACACAGCACTGTTCAAGGCTGCTTCTCCACCCCAGCCAGGATGACTTTCTGGAGGGACTACGTAAAGCACAGGCACTGCACCCTGGCCAGACCACGCAGGGGTTACACCCAGGCACACAGCTGACTGTGCTGGAAGAGGCTGAGCCAGGAGCCTCTGCTGAGCCCTCTTCTCTGTCCAGGAGGCTAGTGATACTGATTAAGAAAGTGAAGACACTTAAGGCTAACTCTGCTATACCTGCACTCAGAGAGAGAACTGCAGACAGAAGCAGCTGCATCCAGTAGAGACGGTGTAAGGGGGACACTTAGTTCCCAGGCCCTGTGTTCCCATGTACAGGCATCCCTCCCTCCCCAACCCTCTCTTCACCCTTTCCTGTGGGGAGAGGAGTGAGTTACCTGACAGATGCCTGGGAGGAGGAAGCAGGGCATGCTCTGTTGTTCGGCCCTGTCCTCTTAGGGAGCCAGCTCTCTGGCCGGTTGTCCTTGCCTGGTCTCTGCCCTGTGGCAGACAACCTGATTCTGGCAGGAGGCTTGAGTCACAGTCCAATCTCAGTTTAATTTTAGGGGTAGATTTAACAAACACACTTGGCATCAGATCTAAGACCACACTCATAAACTGACGTTAGTTATAATACTTTGCTCTCCATAAGTCTAACTCTGTAAGTTCATCTCTCCATAGGTTTCAAACTCAGTTGAGGGATAGGATATTAGCTCCCCAAATACAGCAGAAGATACGTTATTTTTAATCTAACACAGAATTTGATTTTGAAATTAGTACTTTAATTTTCAAAATATGTGTATATTACCTGCAAACCTATTTTACTTAAAGATAAAAGCCTAGCACTTTACAACAGAAACTCACAGCACTGATAACTACCTGCAGATGATATAATAATTTCTAATATGCTGACATGTTTTAATAGGCCTATAAAATAATGACAGGTCCAAAGGGAGAAACATAGTATTTCAGCACTACAGAAATGCTTACGTCACTACGGAACACCGCCATTTGGAATTACCTGAGGCTGAGAACCCATGGACAGGAAAGACGAACAAGCATCACCTATCTGTAGAAAACAACAATGCCAGTTACATCTTGGAAACACACAGAAGACAGCAAAAAATGGAAAGCAGATCTTACAAAGTCAAGTTACATATGTAACATTAACTGAAATTCCATGACAGTTCAGGACTCTGGATTTGGGAGAGAAGAGTCTTAACTTTTGAAGGAAGTCCTAGAATTGGGATTTCCCCAACATTTGCCCACAGCCACAGGGGTACCTGCCTCCACTAGTAGTCAGTAGGGATCATCAGAGAGCAAGTATAAGGATGCTTCAAACATTGAGAGGGAAAAGCTTCTGATACAATTCAGCCTGAGAAATGTGAGTAGTGACCAAAGAATGGCCTCAAAATTAAGCAGCACCCTGCAATCGTGGTCCTTTACAACACAGAGATGTAATCACACCATTGAAATTAACATGATACTAGCATACATGGGAAATGACAACTAGCACACCATAAGAACTCTTACATAACAATGGGGCATCTTCCAGTTCTCAACCAAGGAGCCAGCTTTAGAAAACAGTTCTATTTTGCAATGAAGGTTTATTGAATTACGGTTGGCAACCAGCTGTTATCAGCCTTTATCCTGAAAAGAAAACTTGAAAGCCAGTAGTATGAGAGATTTATATTCATCATTAAAAACTGTGCTGAGACATTAAGCACTAAGCTGGATGTCTGGAGTTATTTATGGTATTTATTTCTTTGGTGGCCTTTTAAAATGGTACTGAGTCTTATCTGTCTGGGATGATTTAGGCTGAGTCCTGTTTATGGCATAACATCTCAGGGGCCCCCTTCTAGTTCCACAATTCTTTGTTGATCAGTTTCATTTAATTTCCATTCTCACACCAAACTGAAGGGGGGTAATTGTACTCTTCAGTCATAATTCTCAAGCTCCTTACTGTTTCCAAGTCGAACACGAACTAAAATAAATGATTCTCTAATTTAGTAGAAGAGCATAAGTTTTTGTCTCCTTTTTACACTCACAGAACTTGTCGTCTTCTCTATATATCACAGATATTTAGGGAATTGTTTTATTCTGCTTGTCCCTTGTTTCCACCCTCCTGCTCCCTCTTCCATGCCACACAAACCCAGAATCATGGATTCAGACACACACACACACACACTCATGCAGTGAACTTCTTGAGGGTGGGGGCTATCTAACTTGCCCAAAAAAGTGTTCAATAAATATTCTTTAATTAAATTGCATTGAGTTTGGGGGGGTAAAAAATTTAAAAAGAAGTCATTTGAGAGGGGAAAGTCAAAAACACCATAACAGGTAATGAAACTCCCCAATAGCTACAGCCCTAGGAAATACTTTTTAATTAAAAAAGTTTTCAGTCTTTTATGTTACACAAAAAAATTAGTGAATCTGTTTGACTATATACTGCCTTACAAGTCTGAGAATATGACATTTTTACACTCATTTCTACTTCCATTTTACCATCAGGAATTTAGTCTTTTACCTACTGAAAAAAAAAAGGGTTCTCCCTCATAGCTCCCCCACTTCTAAGCTTTGTATTGTGACCAGTGCTTAATATATCACTGCCAAATGCAGTTTATTTTGCTTTAGTAGGTCGGAGGGAGTGCTCCCTCCCGAAATTTTGTGATGTTTAGGTAAGACATTACATGCTCCAGGGGAGAGCTGTCCACCCCCAGCCCAGGCTGCCCATCTGTGTGAAGTGGCTGTGTCCAAAAACAGCAAACCCTTGAACCTCTAGGCTCACTAATCAGCACATCACTATTGCTTGAATAAAAACATCAGAATAAAAAAACACCAATTAGAAAAATTAGGAGGTAACTGCAAAACTTTTCGGCTTTTGTTCTCCTTTCTTTAAAAGGCACGGCAGCACCACTCACCCACTTTTCCTTTGGATGAGGCCTTGTTCCTTTTACTCAGCTTATGGCCCTAATGGCTTTAAGTGCCGCTAACTGCTTTTGAGAACTCTGCAGAGTCCATTGATGAATCTATTCCAAAGTGGTTAGGTCTCTGCACACGGACTGAAAAGTATGTATTTCTAGTGTTTGAATACATTCGTAATTTTAAAAACCTCTAGCAGAAAGCTTAACTCTATGTTCTTAGCATCTTAACTTCTTTTAATATCTTTTTCTAGAAAAGAATTTCCAGTGCTTTTACAACTTTGAGTTTTCTTTCCCCAGAATTATCATCTAAAAGTTTTTTCAAAGACTTTCCAAAGAAATAGAGCTAAAGTAAATGTCAAAATCTATTTTAACGTTAAAATTATTAAAATTAATAATTTTAATAAATACACTCAGTTATCAATACTTTATTATTTCAATAATTATTTATTTATAAATAATTTAATAATTCATAAATATAAATAACAACTATAATTTATAAGTATAAATAATAAATATAATTTATTATTATAAATATTGTAATAATAAATATAAATTATTTATAAATATAATTATTAATAATTTAATAATTTAAATAAGATTGAAATTATTAAAACTAATAATTAAAATTAATGTCAAGCTAAAATAAAATGTTTCTGTATTCTATTACATTTCTATATTCTACATTAATATCTGTTCTCTAAATTATTGTTTGTCCTGCTTATATATTTCTAGGATGTACTGTGATATACCAAGGCAGAGACCCTTAACGTTGACTTTACGAAATTCAATGCTATTAAAGACTCAGTACTTGGCCCTTATCATGGATCTTATCTATTCCCTTATGGTCTTGTTAGGGATGGCTTAGGTACAAAGGGTATTCTCCTCAGTTCAGAGCTTGCTTTCATGATTGGACTTGTTTCATTTACTCATTCTTTTCTATTTTCATTTCCTGCTCCTATTCCATCCTCCCACAGGCAACTCTTCTAATGTATTTGATGTGTATCCTCCATTTATGTTCTTGCAAAATCTGTACTGTGTGCATGGATGGTATTTTTCTTACTTTTTTCAACTTAACACTATACTTTGAGATCTATCCATGCTTCTGGACACATCTAGTATGTTGTCCCTAACTGCCATGGAGTACTTTATAATGTGTACCCACCACATGTTGCCTACCCACTTCCCAGTGATAGGCAGCCAGGTTCCCTCTAATTCTTTCCATTACCTCCTTGTATCTGTCCTCCACATATGGATTTGTAGGTGAATATATTTGTGCTATGTTCCCAGGAGAGGGAGTGCTAGACCATAGGGGTATCTGGGTGGCATTCCAGATGGCTTCACCAGTTGACTCTCTCATCAGCAACGATGAGAATTCATACACCCCCTATCCTTGCTGACATTTGCCATTATCCAGATTTCAATTTTTTTACCAGTCCAACAGGTAGAAAATGACACTTTGTTGTTGTCTTAATTTTCATTTCATTGTTACCAAAGAATTTGAGTGTCTCTTTAGATACTTGCTGGCCTTTTAGGTTTCCTGTTTTATAAATTGTCTGTTCTATTCTTTGAATATTTTTACTTTGGATTTTTGTCTTTATCCAATCAGTTTAATAGAATGTCTTAGATATCCTAGAAACTAATCTCTTATCAGTTTTAGACATTGTCAATATCTTTTCAAAGGCTCTTATCTTTTTCAGTGGAGTCCTTTGTTGAAAGAAATATTTACTTTTACTGTAATTCAATTCATCAGGTTTTTGTTTTTATAATTTATAACAAATTTTATTTTATTTCCCTGCTCCTAGCTCTCAACAATATTTTTCTAACAGAAAAGATATTTTCTATTAAATCTATATTTTTACCCTGTATGTTTAGATCTTTAATCCACCTAGAGCCTACTTTTGTATGGGGTGTTAGTTTTATTCTTCCCCACATAGTAAGCCAGCTTCTCAACCTACATTTGCCCAATAATCTGTCCTTTTCCCTCTGAATTTTTGTGTTATTTCTATTGTGAGTTAAGTTTATGTGTACATGCATTTCTGTCTTAGGTGGGGTTAACCCAGAAACAGACCTTGAGATAAGGATGTGGATATGAGTAGATTATTTCCAAGATGACCCAAAAAACACTGGTAGAAGAATGGAGAAGTGAAGCAGGGAAGACAAGGAATCCAATAAAGGGTACATTATCAAGCAGGTTACCACCACTGGTAACTGAGATCAATCCGTCCAGGGAACACTGGGAGTCAATGCAGAATACAACTCAGAGTTATCCCAACTGAGGCAGGAGGCAGCTAAGTTAGGCTGTTCTCAGTGGTGGGGGCATTTGCTCCCTGGCACTTCTGGTTTACCCCAACCACAGGCCAAGCAGGCAGAGTCACAGTTGCAAAGAGAAACAGTGAGTTTGGAGTGCCACGGAGAGCACGACAAAAGGATGTGACAGTGCACTGCCAGTGTCTGCCTAACTCTCCAAGCTCTCATCTTGGTTCCATTGGTTCATTTGTCTGTTCTTGTATGGCCACTACCATACTTTTTTATTACTACTATTTACAGTACCTCTTGATATCTGGTAGGGCAAGTTTCCTTTCTTAGCTCTTTACATTTAAAATTTCCTTAGCTATTTGTACACTTTTATTTTTCCATATCAATTTTAGGTTAAATTTATGAAGTTTCTTTTTAAAATTGAGTGGAATTCTGATTGGGATTGCATTGACTTTTATGGGATTTAATTGACTAATTTGGAGGAAAATTGGTATTTTTATTACATTAAATTAACTGTTCCATGCAAGAGCAAAGAATGTCTCTTCATATAATCACATCATCTTCTATTTTCTTTATTAAAATTCAATGTTTTTCTCCATAAAGCTATTGTATATTGTTGGTTAGGTTAATTCCTAAATTCTTACACCATGGCAACAAAAACTGTAAGAATTTAGGAATTAACCTAACCAACAATATATAATAGCTTTATGGAGAAAAACATTATGATTGGAAAACATATAAAATAGATTCTTTCTAACTTATGAAAACTTTCTTTGTCTTCTAAGACACAATCTATTTTTTTAATGCTCCAATTATACTCAAAATCAATATTCATACTATTTAGCGCAGGTTTTAAAAAATATTTCTAATAGCTCAAATTTATTAATTGTATTGTTAGGTCTTTGTTATATCTACCTGTGTGTTACTTGCTTTAACTATCAGTTTGGAGGGAGGTATATTAAAATCTCCATCTATAAATATTCATTTATCTATTTTTCCTTGAAGTTCTATCAATTGTTGAATAAATTTTGAAGTTGTTTTGTTAATATATATTAATGATGGTTGTATCTTTTTGCTCTGTAGTAATTTATCATCATATAAGACACCACTTTGCCTGATACAGTGGTTTGTTTATTTGAATTTCATTTTATCAGATATTAAGACTGCTACTCCAATTTTCTTGCAGATCATATTTGCTCGGTACATCATGTTCCATTCTTTTATGCTTACATTTTCTTGTTTTCTGTTTTAAGTGTGACTCTTACAGAGACTATATTGCTGGATCTTTTTAAAGAATTCAGTCTGGGAATCTATCTTTTAAGTAGTGTATTTTAACACATTCACATTTATTGTAATTACTCTATTATTAGGACTTATTTCTTCCATCTAACTTTACCATTTACTATATTTTTGTTTCCTTTTTATCTTTCCTTAAAAGTAATTATGAATATTATGATATCAGAATGTTAGTAAAATCAAAGTTGTCCCAAAGCTAAATTGTATTATTTCATTTTACCATGATAATTTCAAAGATAAAGTTTACACTAATTTGTGTAAGAATAATTCTTTACCTCATTCCACAATCGTAGTTCTTGTTCAGGCTGTAATCCTTGAGGTAATATTGGAGCACCTAAAAATAAAGTTTTACTCACATGTTAATTTTACAGTATTTCTTCTAAAATTACATATTTACATACAACTCAATTTTGGATGATATTTCTCATTTTCACTGTTTTCACTGTTTTTTCTACCCTCTTATTTCCACTAGGTATTTCAGCATTTGACTTAGAATAAGGAGACATAATTACTAAATAAGCCTTATTAACATTACTCTCAAGAGTGAATTACTTCTATGTCTACACAAAAACTTGTACATGAATGTGCAAAGCAGCATTATTCACAATAGCCCCAAAGTGGAAACAATCCAAATGTCCGTCATCTATAAACAGATAAACACACAATTGGAAATTACTGGCCATAAAAAGGAATGAACTACTGATATATGCTGCAACAGAGATGAATCTCAGACATATCATGCTAAATCAAATAAGCTAGAAGCAAAAGATCAACTACTGTAGGAAGCTATTTACATGGAATGCCCAGAGAAAGCAAATCTATAGTGCTAGAAAGATTAGTGGTTGCTTGGGGCTGGGGGTAGGAGTGGGGATTAACTGCAAATGGACAAAACAGACCTTTTGGGGATAATGGAAAATTGTACTGTTGTGATAGCTGCACATTTCTTTCTTTTTTCTTTTTTTTGGGTGGAAATGAATCAATATTGTATTTATTAAGGAGAAGTAAAAGTACAAAAAGGTTTGTACAACAGAGCATAAAAAAGTGATAAATCAATTCTACTTAATTCAGAATGCTTGAAGAGTCACCTATGCTATTATGAATAAATAATGCAGGAGCAAAAATTTATTATAGACATATTTTTTTGGTTTGGATTTAGTGCTCACCCTGGTTTGACTTAAATCTTGTAAAGAATGGTATTCAACTAATTGAAATAACATTTTTTAAGTAAGACAATGCCTCTAGGGTATTCAGAATGTGATCCTGAAATAGAATTTGGATGATGAAGTATCAGGTAAAATTTATTTAAATGGTATGATGTTATAGCATGTTAACTCTGATGAGTGAGGATCTTTTTTTTTCTTCTGTTTTTTTCTTCCCAATTTTACAGAGATGTAACTGACATACAGCACTGTGTAAGTTTAAGGTTTAGAGCATAATGATTTGACTTATATTGTGAAATGATACACAATAAATTTAGTTAACATCTGTCATCTCATATCGATACAAAAAAGAAAAAAAAGTTTCTTTTCTTTGTGATGGGAACTCTCAGGATCTCCTGCCTTAACTTTCAAATACACCACACAGCAGTGTTCACCATAGTCATCACAGGCAAATGGCTGCTCAACTCTTTAAATCAACTTAAAAATCACTGAGTTGTATACTTAAAACAGATATAGTTTATAATACATGTATACATGTATGTATCATAAACTATATCTCAATAAAGATCTTTTTAAAAAGAATAACTTCTTAAGGCCTTAGTTATTGTTGAAATAAAACGTTAACTACTTAACATCCTCTAAAAACAACATTTTCTTCATCGGTTTAATTTTCTAATTCACACTACATAAATTATAAATATTAATGCAATTACTATTTATTTTCTTATATGTATACACTTGCGTTTACTAAAATCAAGAAAACATCCTTTAGAATAAGACTGTAAATAGGTCTAAGATTTCAAATGCAGTAAAATCAAATACTTAAAAAAACAGACTTAGAGAACCTTTTAAAAAATAAAGACAGCACCTGCTAACACTGATTGGTACCAGGCACTTCAACCTTCATACCAGCCTTTTAAGATAGCTATTCTCCTTATTCCCACTTTAAGATGAGGAAACTAGTATTGGTACAAAAACAGACATACAGACCAATGGAACAGAATAGAGAGCCCAGAAATGAACCCACAAACTTTTGGTCAACTAATCTTCGACAAAGGAGGCAAGAATATACAATGGAATAAAGACAGTCCCTTCAGCAAATGGTGTTGGGAAAACTGGACAGCAGCATGTAAAACAATAAAGCTAGAACACTCCCTTACACCATACACAAAAATCAACTCAAAATGGATCAAAGACTTAAATGTAAGACAAGATACAATAAACCTCCTAGAGGAAAACATAGGCAAAACATTATCTGACATACATTTCAAAAATTTTCTCCTAGAAGAAATAAAAGCAAGAATAAACAAATGGGACCTAATGAAACTTACAAGCTTCTGCACAGCAAAGGAAACCAGAAGTAAAACAAAAAGACAACCTACGGAATGGGAAAAAATTTTTGCAAATGAAACCGACAAAGGCTTGATCTCCAGAATATATAAGCAGCTCATACGACTCAATAAGAAGAAAATAAACAACCCAATCCAAAAATGAGCAGAAGACCTAAACAAGCAATTCTCCAAGGAAGACATACAAATGATCAATAGGCACATGAAAAAATGCTCAATATCACTAATTATCAGAGAAATGCAAATCAAAACTACAATGAGGTATCATCTCACACCAGTCAGAATGGCCATCATTCAAAAGTCCACGAAGGACAAATGTTGGAGAGGCTGTGGAGAAAGGGGAACCCTCCTACACTGCTGGTGGGAATGCAGTTTGGTGTAGCCATTGTGGAAAACAGTATGGAGATTCCTCAAAAGACTAGGAATACACTTAACATATGACCCAGGAATCCCACTCCTGGGCTTATATCCAGAAGGAACCCTATTTCAGGATGACACCTGCACCCCAATGTTCATAGCAGCACTATTTACAATAGCCAAGACATGGAAACAGCCTAAATGTCCATCAACAGATGACTGGATAAAGAAGAGGTGATATATTTATACAATGGAATACTATTCAGCCATAAAAACCGACAACATAATGCCATTTGCAGCAACATGGATGCTCCTGGAGAATGTCATTCTAAGTGAAGTAAGCCAGAAAGAGAAAGAAAAATACCATATGAGATCACTCATATGTGGGATCTAAAAAACAACAACAACAACAACAACAAACAAAGCATAAATATGGAACAGAAATAGATTCATGGACATAGAATACAGACTTGTAGTTGCCAAGGGGGTGGGGGGTGGGAAGAGATAGACCGGGATTTCAAAACTGTAGAATAGATAAACAAGATTATACTCTAGAGCACAGGGAAATATATACAAGATCTTATGGTAGCTCACAGAGAAAGGAATGTGACAATGAATATATATATGTTCATGTATAATTGAAAAATTGTGCTCTACATTGGAATTTGACACAACATTGTAAAATGATTATAAATCAATAAAAAATGTTAAAAAAGAAAAAAAGAATGAGGAAACTGAAGGAATGAAGGATTAAGTAATTTGTCTCAGGAAATACATACTTAGCAGAAGCTGACTACAAACCAGGTCTGGCTGAATCCAAATCCTGATGGATTTTTTTACCCTAATTCTACCACTTTCAGTCAAGTCTTGCCTTGAGTTCTCACAAATTTGTACTATTATTTAATCTAAGCTCTAATAATATTAATAGTATTTAACTACATTTTCTGTACTCAGCCTTAGAAGTCACTACATGACTCCAGTAGAGAGTTGATTGATTGGAATCCTCTTACATGGGACTGCTATTCAAGGTGGACAAACGATCTTAAACACTTCTCAATTATATATTTCTCACCTTAGCACAGATGTATATCCCAAAGTTACTGTTGTCTGGTGGATATCACTCTGAGCTGATTTTGTTTTCAGGAAGGGATAAAGCTGTGCTTCTCAAATATTCATGCAAAACACCTGGTGATCTTCTAAATGAGATTCTGATTCAGTCAGCTGGGAACAGCCCCAAGAGTCTGCATTTCTAGCAAGCTCCCTGGTGCTATAGATACTGCTAGTCCATGGATAACACTGAATAGCCAGTGGAGTTAGCACTGCATTTTAGAAAGAAACGGAGGATACCTCGTATTTGACAGAACTAGGTAGCTCAAACAAACATTTTAGGTCTAAGCTCTTTAACAAGTCTGAATATTTCCAAAACAGGGATACGACTGTTCTCATGAAAAAAATCTAAAAGGCCATAGGCCCAATCCTTACAACTTGGATGCACTACACATCTGCTGTTACTAAGAGTGAACTTCGAAAAATTAAAAAAAAAAAGAGGAATGGAGGGAGAGAGCAGTATTTGATCTAAGAGAACCAAAGTTAACTATGATGCAAGGAAAAATACAAAGGATTCCACTTATTGCTTGTACTTCTGATTTCTCCATTCATCACAACATTGTTAATTTCTGTTTGACAGGGCACAGCTGTTTAAAGAACATAATTTCATATTTTTTTTCCTCCTGGTCATCTCCTACCTCCACACTGCCTTGACAAGACCATTAAGAGTTTGCCTCCTTCCATGTCCCCAAGCTTGCATGGGCCACACCAAAATTGTCATCATGTCTAACTAGATCCAGATACTTATATAATCAAAAGGGGTACCTTGTGGCTTTTACACAAAACATGCAAACAATATCAGGGTAAAAAGCGTAGAGATGTCAAAAAATTTTAATGTTTATCTATAATTTATAGAAAACCACTTATATCCTATGACCAAATCCAAAGGAAAAAATATCCCCCTTTCTCTATTTGTTATTTATAAAGTTGATGTGATTTTTTTCCTCTTATTATATTCTAGATGTGGGCTCTCTACCATCAAATAGGAGATGCTTTCCTAAATACTGTCAGAGACAACACCACTATCTTCTACATCACAAAGCTGCACTGCTTCTGATCAGTTTCAAGATATTTATACTTCATACTACGTAGTAAAATGCAATCTTTAGTCTTATACTGTGCAATTTAACTGATACAAATAATATGGATAGAGAACGTGTGCTTCTGTAAATACACTATATGTAAGAGAAAGAAAAACAGACGATTATTCTAAAAGTGCCAATTTCCTTTTCTCATTGCTAGTACTCAACTAGCGTAGGATTTGGAAGTGAGAAATTGTCACTGCTGACTGAATTTTAAGAATTATTCCATGAACAGGGGCTTGAGTAGGAGAAGACACTTCTTAATTTAGTCTTGGACATTTGATCACTTAATTGTCACAGGACACATCAAGTGACGGTTTGTTGCAGATATCCAAATGTGCCCCTCTTTTAGGAAATTTTCTTCTTTATTTTAATGTTCTCTGAATAGCAAACTGTTTCCAGCCACAGATTCGGTGGCTTTATCTTATTGCTAGTACATACTCTGCTAATTCATTTTTGCCAAAGATCTGTACTTATTGACACTATTTTATTTTCCTCTGGCTTTGTGGTATGTGCTTTATTGTTTTTCGATGCATCTATTTGCATCTTGCATAATGATTAATCTTGGTAGATTATCTCCCAGCTTTGCTTATACATGTCATGCATACCCCCCAGTGCTATCTTTAGGGGCTCAGGACTAAAGCAGATCACCAGGGCAGATCAAAGGAGGGTAAATTCACCCTCTTTCCTCCTCATCACATTTTTAGAGAGATAAAATTAACTTTTTAGTACCAAGAGCAGGTCTGAAGGGGAAAGAAGGCACAAAGGAGTAGTCTAGAGGGTCTCTGTGTAGGGTAAGAGTTATCTCCTCCCTTTGCTTGAGAAATAGTGGGGATATTTATGAGACGATTGGTAGGCCGGCGGACATGCTCTTTCAGAAAGAAAGCTCAAGACTTACCTTTTTTAGACATTAGCTCTGGCTTTTCATAGTTTCTGCTCAATCACCAGCAGCCTGAAAGTCTCCCCCACCACCCAAAAAACCAGTTATCGTCCACTGATACAAAAATTACTGCAGGCATATAGCATGTAACATGCACAGAAAGTACATTTGCTTTACAGAAAAAGCCACTTTTAAAATTATAGTTATGTTTCCTTAATAAGGTAGATAATTATTACCATCATAATTTTACCAACAGCAGATTTAAAATTGAAACAGATTAACATTACTTTGCATGTCATGTTGTATTACTGCTGGGTATGTGATGGAGAAGGTTTAGGTCTCCTAGCTTCTGAATGCTTAGATTTCAAAGCCAAATTACCTTGCCTTTCAAGCAGGAGAGGTCCCCCATCCCTACCTCCAAAGCCTTAAGCAAAGGGGCAAATCAAAACAGTGAGAAGACAGCAATAAAAACAAGTACATTAGGGAAAATATATCTTCAGTTTCCCCACATCTAATTGAGGGATGGTCTAAGTGCTCTGCCAGGTCCCTGCACTTATGGTTTCAAATCCCTAACTTCTGAACAGTCAGCCCACCATCATGTCACTGACAGTAGAGCCGAAGGAAGCTAAGAGAACCTGTTGCGAAGCTAGAAAATTCATGGTCTTAGTAGGGCAGTGGCTGGCCCTAGAGGGGCCCCTGGCTCAGGGCTGGGAGGCAAAGGGTGGTCCCCTGGAGATACCTGGAAAGGTAACCTTAAGAGAACTGGGAAGTGATCTCTCCACTGGAACACATTGTATCTGCTCTATCCTGAATCCCAGGCTTCAGAAACCCCTTTCCGTCCTTGATTTTGCTTTTCCCACATCTCTCCTCTAAGTCAGGTTCAGGAAGTCCCTACTGCTATCAAACTGCATCTGCCTTTAGTGGTTTTAGCTGTAGCAATGACTGAAAGCCTGGCTTGTACACTTGCTTCCTGGGCTCTGTATGATAAGAAAGTCTCTACTCCTTTTCCTGATGTAATGCCTGAAAACCTATGAGCCACAGACCCTACACTTTCGCCATCAATACTGGAAAGCTACAACGGGGCCTGTTACTGCTCAGGATTATCTGAACAGAACCGGAGCTTACTCACCAAGGAAGCTGAGCCCTTTCCAAGCTCACCTGGCATCAGCAGGTGAGGTATCAACCTCGCTCTAGTTTTGCTTCACCATCCAGTAATTGCAATCAAAGGAAAAACATTTTAATTTTCACTGTTTTAATTCCCGTTACCAATGGGCTACAAGAGCTGGACATCCCTAGTTGAGGGAGCTCTACAAGTTTCCACCAACTGAAGGCTGCCCAGCCTGGGGATTTCGGCCAGGCCCAGGTCCTTGCTCAAGCCGGGCTACTGGGACCTGAGCCGCTGGCTGCCACGGGGTGGCGAACCGCGCCCCTGGTTAAGAGAGAGAACCTGGAGGGCCCCGCAGCTCCAGGGGGTGGCAAATACCAGGAGCCAAGAGAAGAGATGAGAAAGGGAGGGCGGCGATCGCAGCAGGGAGAAGCGGCGCGGGACGCGACCGCGGCGCGGGTGCCCCGGGAGTCGCGAGGTGCGCTTACCTCGGCAGCGGCCCGCGCAACAGGCGAGCAGTAGGAGTAGCAGGAGCGGGGACGCAGCGGCCACCTGCCTTGCTGCTCGCGGCATGTTGGCTCCTGCTGGCGGCTGGGGGCCCGGGACCCTGAGCTGCACCGACCCGCGCTCCACGCGATGCTGTAGCCGAGCCTCTGCGTTCCTGGCGCGCTGCTCGCCCGGCTCGGCGGCCAGACTGACCGCCCTGCGCGCTGCCAACTTTTAAATCTCGCGGACACGTGGGCTGAGGCGGCGAGGTCCCCACGCGCGTCACCTCGCCGCCCCCGGCCTCCCTCGCGTCACTCCCTACCCGCTGCCAGCCCCCGCCCCATCCCGCAGCGGGACCCGCGCCCCACGCAGAAGTTTCTGACTCAGGGTACCACGCCTTTTCGGTCTCCCAGCCCTAGGGGCCCTGAGAGAGAGGGGAATGGAATTAAACAATGCAAGTCCATTCTCTTCTTTGGAAGGATTTGGAGCTGGATGGGGATGGCAAACCAGGCGGCCTGAAGAGGCTGGGATCCCGGTTTTCAAACTTGGTGGTTGCGACACTCTGCCTCTGATGCCCCTTCTTCACCCTCCCGGGGAAGCCTTCTCTACCTCAACAGACTGTGCGGTGCCTCCTGTCCCACAGCTCCCGTAGCCACCTCTGTCCACGCACTTCTGTTCTGTTCCCTCTCCAATACCCCAGCCCCTAGCCCAACGCCCGGGGCGTGTTAGAGCGAAACTGGTTCAGAGGTGGTGGTGTTCCCCAAATTCCTGCCAGGTCTGAGGCCTTTCCAGGAATGCAGCTGTCTGTTAAAGAAGGTCAGGAAGAAAGGACGGCTGGGGCTTGACCACACACGTTTCTAACAGTCCTAGAAGGTCTTTGGCTGCCCTGTGGATTTCCAAGTCAACTCCTTTTTCTATGCATTTCTCCTGCTGTCACTCCCTAGCTGATTGATGCATTCTGATTTCCAGGGTAACCTGTTTATCCCTCCCCAAACCTTCCTTCCTAAGTGGAAACATCCACCCCCCACCCCCCACCCCACCCCCGCCCCGGGCAGCCTCTTCCAGGACACTGGCTGATACCGGTTTAATTTCCATCTCCAGAAAGAAAGAAGATGAAACTTACCTGACCCCCTTTTGAAAGGAATGCTGAGGAAAGGTTAGGAAGGAAACACATTTACATTTCTTAAGGGACATCTTTTTGTCAGGCACTCTCCCATGCGATCTCATGTAATATTCATGGCGTCTCTGGGATGTAAGTATTATGATTCTCTTTTGACCATGCTTAGAGATAATAGGCAATCTGCCCAAAGATATCATCATGTGAGGGAACCACTGGCCATTCTACTCTGTGAAGGTGTTTCTTCTCTAAATTAGGGGCTTTAATGTACGAAACATGAACTATGCAATCCACTGCAGTCAAGGCTTGTCCTCAAAGATACAACATTTAGTAATCTTCCTAAAGGAAATGACAATATTTTTGAAGTATAGTTGATTTATAATGTTGTGTTAGTTTCTAATGTACAGTAGAGTGATTCAGTTATACACATATATATTCTTTTTCATTATAGGTTATTACAAGATATTGAATATAGTTTTCTGTGTTATACAGTAGGATCTTGTTGTTCACCTATTTTACATATAGTAGTTTGTATCTGCTAATCCCAATCCTAATTTATCCTTCCCCCCTCTTTCCCCTTTGGTAACCATAAGTTTATTTTCTATGTCTGTGAGTCTCTGTTTTGTAAATAAGTTCATTTGTAACATTTTCTAGATTCCACATATAAGTGATATCATATGATATTTGTCTTTCTCTGACTTATTTCACTTAGTATTATAATCTCTAGGTCCATCCATGTTGTTGCAAATGGCATTATTTCACTCTTTTTATGGCTGAGTAGTATTCCATTACACACACACACACACACACACACACACACACACACACCACATCTTCTGGATAAGATGTGGATAAGATTGTGGATAAGATGTGGATAAGATTGTGGATAAAATTCTTTATCCATTCATCTGTTAATGGATATTTAGAATACTTCCATGTCTTGGCTATTGTAAATAGTGCTGCTATGAACACTGGGGTGCATGTACCTTTTCCAATTAGTGTTTTCTCCGAATGCATGCCCAGGAATAGTATTGCTAGATCACAAATCTCTTTTTAGTTTTTTAAGGAATCTCCATACTGCTTTCCATAGTAGCACCAAATGCTGCACCAAATAACAAAAGGAAATTACAGGGGAGAGTAAAGCTGAGCAGCGGAGTACATGCCTAGCATGCATGAGGTCCAGGGTTCAATCCCCAGTATCTCCATTAAATGAACAAACCTAATTATCTCCTCTCCACCACCACCAAAAAAAAATAAAGAGGAAATTACAATTTGGTAAAGGACCCCAAACCCAGACTCAAATAGCTGTATGACAAGGCCTATTGGGATAGTGCTCTATCAGAAATACAGAGAGGCAAGAAAATAACTCTGATAGGCAAAGTGAAAAAATAATGGCTATCACTTTTAAGTTCTTTATATCCATGAAGCATGTGTGCAAGGCCAGATTATAGAGTCTGGTCCAGGTTCAAGAATGGATGAGAACAGATTTGATTCAAGAATTCTTGTACTTCGATTTATTCCCAAAGAAGTAAAAGAGTAATATAAAGGATGTAAATGACATAAGGATGTGGGCAGGTGGAGGGGGGTCTGGCTTCCCATTGCCCTCCTTGTGTCTCCTGGAGGCACACTGAAAGATCACTAGTCTCAGCTGCCTATGTCAGGTGAGACATCAGTGAAAACAGAGAAGCCTGGAAATAGTGGGCTCGATGCTTTTTATACCCCCAGCAGGTCAAGAAAAGAAATGATTCATGTATTACAAGTTTTTTCCTGCATAAACCAGGCTGCTCTGGATGTTCTTGTACATGGCCCTTGGTACAAATGTGCGAGAGCTTTCTGAGTTATACCCCTAGCAGCAGAGTTATTAGGTCATAGGGGATAATCTAGTTAAACCCTAAATTGTTTTCCAATGTGTTGTTCCAATTTACACTCCACCAGCAGTGCGTGAAGTTTCCGTTGTTGTACATCCTTGCAAAAATCTTTGCCTGTCTGGTGGATGTGGCATCTCATTGTGGATTTAATTTGCAATGTCCACTGCTAATAGGGCTGAGTATCTTTTCACAAATGTATTGGCATTATTGTTTTATCTTCAGTTCATTTGTTTCTTTTGCTCATTTTTCCCCATTAGGTTGTTAGTTTTCTTCTTACCCATTATAGAAATGCTTTACGTATCTGGAGCTTTTGTTGGTTAAATGTGTAGCCATTATTTCCTCCCTATTCATGGCTTTTCCTTTACTTACTGTATATGAGTCATTATTTTTGCAGAACTGGTTAAGAAAAACTTGCAGATAAGAGATGAATTGGGGAATGAGGGAAAACAGACACTAGGAGCAAAGGTTGGGGAATCCCACAAATGACTAAATAGAAGGAAGCTAATTCCAAAGGTCTTCTTTTGTTCAAATATTCCATTTAGAAGTTCACATTCATTTGAATTGAGATTATACATCAGTATATACCCCCAGGTGTAGTGCAGCATCTAAAGCATTTCCACTTACTCTGTTCAAGACTGAAAGTTTGATTCTGGGTACCATGATGATTCTTCTCACCTATTCATCTCTTGGAAATTGGCAACTGGACATTGCTTTCTGCTTACAACCTGTAAAAATGAAATCTCAGTTAGAACATAGACCTGCAAATCAGTGAGACATGTTAGCTTACAATAGAAAAGTCATCACAGAGAGCATTAGGAAGGGGAGGATGGTTGAACGTCAGGAGAATGGGAGAGTCAGCAATAGACAGAAACTCAGTCAGGCAGCAGTTGGCAATAGCAAAGTCCAGTAATATGTAAAGAGATCCAGCTTTAGGAGCTGAGACTAGGGGCAAGAGCTGGAAGATTTAGAGGTTAGGCAAGATAGACATGCATTCCTTCAAATATGAATTGAGCACCTTCTAGGCTCCCTTCTAGAAGCTGGGCATGTAGCAGTGATCAAGTCGTTAAAGTCTCTGCCTTCATGGAACTGACAGATTTTCAAGGAAAGGCAGATAGTAAGCAAGTTAACAAAAGATTTTCAGATAGTAGTAAATGCTACAAGGAAAGTAAAACAGGGTAATGAAATAATAGAAGGTGGCTGGGAATTGGGGGTAAGGTACTTGACACAGGATTATCATGGGTTGCCTCTCTGAGGGAGATGATACAAGAGGCCTAAAAGATGAGAAGAAACCAGTCATGGAAAGATCCTGTGAAAAAAGAGCCCCAGGGATGAAACTTGAAAACATTACTCTTACTGAAAGAAGCCAGAAACAAAAGGCTACATATTGTATGATTCCATTTATACATAATACCCAGAAGAGGCAACTCCATAGAGACAGAAAATAGATTAGTGGTTTCCAGGGGCTGTGGAAAGAGAACAGTGACTGTTAATAAGTATGGGGGTTCCTTCTGAATGATGAAATCATTCTCGAATTAGAGAGTGGTGATGTGAATATACTAAAAACCACTGAATTCTACATTTTTAAAGGATGAATTTTATGGCATGTCAATTATATCACAATTTTTTTTAAAGAAATAAATCTTCCTTTTTAAAAGATACAATAATAATGACCTGTTGCAAAGGATGGTGGCAGTCTATGCAATTTAGCATAAGAAAAATATGTCTATTTTTGACATGAAGTATCCAAATATTGTCATTTAATTCCTGGATGTTCTTGGTAACTATGAAAAATCCTCTTCTCAAACTTTGTGAAGGTATTCACCTAAGACACGTCTGTATCAATCACCATGCTATAGTCACTAGCTGTAATTTTTCAGGACAGAAAATACTTCCTAAAACCAAGATGGAGATGCATACTACTATAAATAAAATAAGCAACAAGGATCTACTGCACAGCACAGGGAACTGTATTCAATATCTTATAATAACTTATAATGGAAAAGTATCTGAAAAAGAATAGATATGTATGTATGTATAACTGAATCACTTTGTTGTATACCTGAATCACTGTAAATGAACTGTACTCCAATAAAAAAAGAGAAGTTTGAAAAGAAAAAAGGAGAAGTTTGGTAATACTTTAAAAAAATCCATCATGTATGACTGAAAAATTGTGCTGTACACCAGAAACTGACACAACATTGTAAACTGACTATAACTCAATTAAAAATAATAATAATAATATCCTTACTGTCTTGGGCATCCCAGTCCTTAAGGCAAAAAAAAAAAAAATCCAGGTGTGGAATGTTGGTTTTCATAGTCACT